ATGTGAGGAGAATTCTTGTGAGAACATCCAAGAAAACAAGAGTCTTGTGATCTCAGTTTCTTCAAAACCTGGAACTGTTCTTGGAATGTGACTCTGTGATGCTCCCAGAGGAATCAGAGAGAGCGAGTTTACTTCAGATTGTTCACATTGCTTGCGCTGTTATTCAGTTGAAGGTTTAACCATCCTTTATATGACTCTATGGAAGAAACATGGTTTGCCATGTGTGACCTGTCCTTGTGATTGTACACAGCTTGAACTCATGACAACTTTACTCAGGTGACTCTTCTTAACCCTCAGAGTTTGAATTGTCTGAGGCTCTGAATAAAGCTGGCTATTATATGAGACTTTAGTTCACCTTATTTACTGGCTCCATTCTCCCAGGTCCCACCGCCTCTAGATCGGTGACATTGACATTCCTGGAGTTCTTGGATCCACAGATTAAAGCATCTGAGGATCAGGCACTAATATTTCCCAAACAACCATGTTTCCTAAAAATTTTACACTTATCAATATTGTAACTCCCTATCACTTAGAGACTAAAGACATAAGTTTGTTGGTCTCACTATAACAGGCCAGGATCTCCAAATCCAACCTGACAGCTTAATGTTTAGCACGCATATCACACTGCCAGGATGCTTATTTTGTAAAAGGTTCATTAGTTTTTATATTATGTACATGAGTGTTTTGCCTGTATGTGTGTCTGTGCATCACATGTGTGCCTGGTGCCCAGAGTCTAGAAGAGGGCACCAGAGCTCTTAGAACTGGAATTACAGATAGTTGTGAGCTGCTGTGTACCGGGTATTGGTCATCAAAGCCAGGTCCTCTGCAAGAGCAGCCAGTGCTCTTAACCACTGAGCCATCTCTCCAAACCTGTGGTTTATTTTTAAAATGAAAGTCTTTATTATTTCCATTCTTTTTCTTAGAGAGGCAGCAACACAGAGAGGCAAGATATTTTTATGAGCTAGTAAAGCTGTGTTATTGAATAGCTTATGGCATTCTTGCACTTAGAAAAGTCATTGTAGTAGTATCACGGACAATATCCAATTCACCATGACTATTTGTCCTTTAATCACAGCAAGGGATTCTCTTTATGACTGATAACTAAGGAATTTAAAAGCTGGCATTTCTAAATAGGAGATAGGATCTGACCTGACAGATTTTCCATCACCAATGAGAATTCAAGTTCCCAGACAAAAAGCCACACCTGTGACATAGTCCACAAGGCTGATGGGCTGATCAGCACTCCCAGTCTGTGGGAAGATAAAAGTTGCAAATGTAGAGCCCAAACCTTCTTGGGCAATCTTTAGTACCCCATCTCCTCCTTCTGTTGGGACCTGCTATGTAGACCAGGCTGGCCTCGACTTGCATCGACCTTTCTGCTTCTGCCTCCTGAGTTCCAGGATTATAGGCATGTACCACCACGCCTGGCTCCCTGGCCTTCACATGTGAGGCTTTCTGGGATATACACGCACACTCCCCAGCTTCCACCAGCCCCAAATCTCTTGCCAGCAGACAGCATTTGAAAACTACAGCAGAGATCTCCTCACTCTGCTGTAAGCTGCCTGCCTCCTGGTTCTCCTAGTGTGTCAAAATGCCTTGCCTTACGACTTGATTTCGTTCTGTAACTATAGAAACCTCATGGAGCCATGTCCACATTGGACCTTGCTATTTGGAGGAACCCAAATGCACACTACCAGGGCACGGCCATTCATATTTATCTCAAGAAAGCCTCTCTAATTCCTCTCGAGGAGAAAGCTGCTTCTTGCAAGGACAGAGAAGAAATTCCTCTTTTCGGTTACACAGCTAGCAGTTTCTGTGTCCCTATCCAGTGTTTAATCATTGTTCAATAAAAACAAAAGGAAAATATTGCCTTTGGCGGGAAGTGCTGGGAATAAGAATTGCAAATGCTTATGATGGTTAATGCATGCTTTCTCTGAAAGGCTGGGGACCTCTATCAGCTCGGTTTTACCTCATGGCAAATGCAGGGTCCTTTGAGACAAATCCCCTGGCCTTGATGATAGGATTAAAAGTCAGTTATTAGAACTGAAGGAGTGGAAAAGGAAACTCAGACTCATAAAAACAATAAAGTACTTCAAAGGCGGTGCTGCTCCAGCAGAGACCAGGCCACCAAGGGGAGGGCGCTGGTGTCAGGGTTAGTAGACTCTGATCACAGGCCTCTGCAAGGAGCCATCCTGCCTCCTGTCACTCGGCCCCATTCCTAACAAAATTAATAAACCCACTTTACAAATGATGACTGGGGCATCATGCTGACCTCCACAGAGACACTAATGGATGATTGGAACAGCAGCTGAAGACCCTTCACATCTGTCAACTCCAAGAAGAGTCTGTTTTTTAAAGGACAAGAGTGACAGAGTAAGAATTTAATAGTCGAAGTGGAAAAAAATGTATTTAAAGTACCTTGAAGAAGAAATCACTGCCTTCTTCATCCCTCTAGATTCTCTTTTCTTTTCTTTTTTTTTTTTTTTTTTTTTTTTTTTTTGGGGGGGGGAGGTTTTTGAGACAGGGTTTCTCTGTGTAGTTTTGGTTCCTGTCCTGGATCTCACTCTATAGACCAGGCTGGCCTCGAACACACAGGGATCCACCTGGCTCTGCCTCCCAAGTGCTGGGATTAAAGGCGTGCACCCCCACTGCCCAGCTCCCTCTAGATTTTCTAAACAGACCATTCCCATGTAGCTGAAAACCATTCAACAGTGACCCACTCTTAGGCACACCCTGCTGTGGATATTGCTCTATATAAATAAAGCACTGATTGGCCAGTGACCAGGCAGGAAGTATAGGCGGGACAAGGAGAGAAGAGAATTGAGGAAGGAGGAAGGAAAGAGAGACCGGCTGGAGCCACCGCCAAGACAAAGAAGATGTAAAGTACCGGTAAGCCACGAGCCACGCGGCAAAGTAAAGATTAATAGAAATGGGCTGAATATAAGAGTGAGAGCTAGACAATGATAGGCCTGAGCTAATGGCCAAGCAGTTTAAATAATGTAAGAGTCTGTGTGTTTATTTTATAAGTGGGCTCCGGGACTGGCGGGACTTGGCGGTGGGAGCTGGAGAAAAATTCTCCAGCTACAAAACCCAGCTTCTCTCTGCAAGCACAAAGAAAAGAGCAAAGCAAACCAACTCTACTCTGGTTTAAAACAAAAGCAAAAAAGAAAATAAATACGGAAATCAAATGTGGGCTGGCCAGATGGCTGGGGTAGAAAGATCGGTGGCCGATTCTGACAACCCAAGTTTGATCCCACACGGTGGAAGGGATGCACTGACTTCTGCCTTGTGTCCTTTGACTGGCATGTGCAAAGTACATATTTACTTTTCTGTGCAAATATATATGTTCCCATGTAGCTTTTCACACTGAAAAAGCACCCTCCAACAGTGATATCCCAAAGGAGTGAAAAAACCCTGATTTTTAAGTAGTATCTTCTAGTAAAAGGAAGTAGGAAGCTCCTTAAGGAAAGGGAAAGCTCCAAGTCTGGGCCAATAAAATTCAAAGTGGAGCCAGGCAGTGGTGACACACGCCTTTAATCCCCGCACTGGGGAGGCAGAGCCAGGCAGATCTCTGTGAGTTCAAGGCCAAGGCCAGTCTGGTCTACAGAGCGAGATCCAGGACATCTAGGCCTACACAGAGAAACCCTGTCTCGAAAAACCAAAACTAACTAACTAACTAAATAAATAATAAATAGAATTAACATGGATTTGGGATACTTTGTTCACCAGAGAGCAAGGACGCCCTCATAGAATTAAGGGGCTGAAGAGCTGGTGCAGTAGATAAGTGTTGTTGTTGGGCAAACATGAGGACCTGAGTTCAAATCTCAAGTACCCTGGTCCAAAGACAGTAACCTGTGCCTGCACCCCCAGCACTGCGGCGCACGGAGACAGGAGGATCTCTGGCGCTTGCGGCTGCCAATCTAGCTCTAGGTTCAGTGAGAAGACTGTGTCTCAGTGGAAATAAGGGGGTGTGACAGAGCAGAACGTCGACCTGATACTCTTTTCTGGCCTTCAACTGCATGTGTACCTGCAGACACATACACACATGCGTGCAGGCACATATGCACGCACACATGGACACGTTTTGCATGCACACACGGACACATGCACACCAAACAATAAAAGTTCTTTACGGAAAAATGCAGCTAATAAATATAGAAATAACGACAGAACTGGAAAATCAAAACCTCACACAAAAGTTACTGACGAAAGCTACGGCCACCGGGGAGGTGTGGGAACAGGACCGTCACATGCTCTGAAACTGTCTCAGGGATAACTCGCCACTGTGTTTGGAAAGCAGTGTGCTCACCACACAGCACCAGCCACAGTTAACACTATGATCTGCCTTATTATACTAACAAGGTGTTTTTGCTGGTTTTGTTTTTGAGACGGGGTTTTGCTACGTACCTCAAGCTGGCTTGTATGTAGTTCAGGCAGGCCTCAAACTCATGATCTTCATGGTTCAGCCCCCTCAGGTAAAGGTTTTTACTTTTCTACAGTCAGCATCTCAATCTTTTTCTTACTTGTGTATTTTGAGGCAAACCACTATCCTTCCCCGCCTCCAAGGTCATAAAAATATTTCCCCTAGTATTATCTTCTGAAGGTTAGATTCTATTCAGGTTGCTTTTCAAGGACAGAGGATTAAGTTCTGAAACTGCTGGAAAATATAAACTAGTCCAGTAGCAAAGTTAATTTTGGTTCTTCGAGTTTTTCTAGCTTTAAGTAAAATAGCCTTTCAAGAGCATAAATAATTGAGAATTTCTGTTTAAAATGATAAATGATAAAGTACATTTCCAGGTATTAAAAATGTAGGAAAAACGGGCTGGAGAGATGGCTTCAGTGGGCAAAGAACTTGCTGTGAAAGCATCAGGACCTGAGTCTGGGTGAGAGCTCACACATGCACACACGCGCGCGCGCGCACACACACACACACACACACACACACACACTCACACACTCACGAATAAGAAAGTAGAGAAGAGCGAGTCACATTCTCTTACGTGAGTGAACACAGCATCCCTGCTGAGCTCTTCCCAGCTGTCACTTGGGGTCCATGCTTCGGCAAACTGCAGGAAAGCCCACTTTTCCTTGTCGTCTTCTGCAGCCTGGAGTTTCTCCTTCCTGCCGTTCAGTGTGCTCCCAGTGACCTGGGCCTGAGACGGAGACACGGGGATCTTAGGGCAGTCACCCCCAGTTCACACTCCCTGGTTGGTCATAAAGTTACCCACCGAGAAAGTCTTATTACTTCAACAGATCATGGCTTAGTAATGCAGTTATTCAAAATTACAATGTAATTAGCAACTGTTTAAGGGAGATTTAACAGAACCATGACACAATATTCACTTTCTTTGTGAAATTTTTATTTTAATGTTTATATACTTGGGAGTTTTCCCTAAACGTGATTGGTCATTATGTATATTTATACTCACTACTCAGAACTCACTGCCAAAGAATGTTTGTTTATATCTCCCCCCGCCAACTCATGGGGAAATCCTCACTCTCGGTGTGATGATGTTAGGATGCAGGGTCTGGGGAAGTGATTAGGTCGTGAATGTGAGGTCCACTTTCAGCGGATTAGTGACAGAATACATTTCTATTTATTTCTATCATAGTTTGTTGAAGTAGCTCAAATTACTTACAAAGAAGTTGGTGTCCCAAAAGTGTGGCTGCTGCCTAGAAGTGTGCGAGTGTTTACAAAGTAGGGAACGGATAGAGGCTGGGAGTTTAAGTGTGCATGCTAGTGATTCCACAAATGGAACTTTAACGGTATTTCCAGCCAACAAGGAGAGCAGCAGAGAAAGCATCTCTCTTCTTAAAGAACACCCACATAATCATGAACAGAATGTTGCTGGGAAGACAGACTGCAAAGGCCATTCTGGTAAGGTTTCAGATGAAAAGGAGGAACTCACAATTAGAAACTGGAGGAAAGGTCACGTTGTTCAAAAGCCAAGAATGTAACTGTGTGGACAATGTTCTAGTTATTTCTAGAAGGAAGAACCTGCGAGCATCTCTGAGATTTCCGAGGATGTGCTGAAGGAGCAGGATGGCCCCTCTGACTACTTGTGGTAAATGCAAGAAGAGACAAACACAGACGGAACTGTTAAGAAAAAGGTAACAATTTCAAATTGGGGACATTCTTGGCTCATCAAGACTGTGCAAATGAGAAAAACTGTCCAAGTGGCCATTTGATGTAACAGTTGGCATGGACATGAACTGCAAACTTAATCAGCCAACTGAATAAAAGTGAGAAGCAGACAGGCTGCCTCCGTAGAAAGAGAGTCAGCTGGGGGCGAAGCAATCCCAGACCGAATGACAGAGTGAGGGGCCGTCAGCCTTCCTGAACTGCACACAGCTGCAGCACAGCACTGCCTGGCTGGAAAACAAAACAGAGGAAGCAAGACCACAGAGGCACCGTGGGGATCACAGGGTGCCACTCTTGCCACAGACCTGGCAGGGTGGCGGGGTGTAGTGGTGGACCTGCCTACATGTGGATTTTAAAAACCAGTGCCCAGGGAGCTGCAGGGTGTGGGGCTGCCCAGGGGAGCTCTGGAGGTAGGAGCTCTCTCCACCCTGACAGAACCTGAAAGCCAAGGCAGGGGCGGAGCCACCACAGAGGGCGTGGCCAATGCCTAGCTAAGACAAGCTGATCTCTCCAGCACAGGGGATCCAGAAGGCAGGGCTCCTGCCCTAAGAGGCCTGGAGGATGAACACCAAGCCTTGATACTGAATTTGCCCTGTGAGGTTTTAGACTTGCTTGGGACCACCTAGCCCTTTCTCCCTTCGTTTTCTTCCTCTTGGAGTGTGAATGAGGACTCCAGACATTCTCCCACGGGTGCAGTTAGGAAGCATGTAACCTAGTTGGTTTCAAAGATTTCACAACTGGAGAGGAACTTCACCCCGAGACGAGTCTCATCCATATCCGAGTTAGATAATATTTAGATGAGATACTGGATTGTATAATTAATGCTGGAAGGAGCTAAGATTCCTGGGCCCCAGGGACAGGATGAAGGAATGTATTTTGCATGTGAGAAGCACATGGATTTTTGTGGGGACAGATAAATGGCTAGTTTTATAACTTGACACAAGCTAGAATTACCTGGGAAGCTCTTAATGAGGGTTACCTAGATCAGATTGGCCCATGGGCATGCATGTGAGGCTTTTTATTTATTTTTTAATTGTGTGCCACTATTTCATGGGCCTAAACAGTGGAAAAGTGGAAAAAGGGAGCTGAGTAGTGAGCACGAGTTCACTGCTCTCTGTTCCTGATGCGGATGGGGCATGACTGGACCAGCTGCTTCAAGCTCCTGCCTTGATTTCCCCCAGTGACTGGCTGTGACCTGGGCTTACACTTCCACGCCACGGTTCTTCTCCAAAGGAAGTCAGGGCAGGAGCTCAAGCTGGACAGGAACCTGGAGGCAGGAGCTGATGCAGAGGCCATGGAGGGGTGCTCCTCACGGCTTGCTCAACCTGCTTTATAGCACCAGGACCACCAACCCAGGGATGGCCCCACACACAATGGGCTGGGCTTTCCCCACCAATAACTAAATAACAAAATGCACTACGATTTGCCCACAGCCCGGTCTTACAGAGGCATTGTCTCACCGGAGGCTCCCTCCTCTCTGATGACTAGCCTGTGTCAAACTGACATTAAAACTAGCCAGCATAAGACCTCATGAATGAGATCCCTGCCCTTGTAAAATGAGAGCATTCTCACCTTCTTTCTACCTGGGCCTCCAACAGGAAGATGGCAGTCTACCACCCTTACCCAGCTTGACCATGCTGGCTCCCTGATGCCAACACCCATCCTCCAGAACTGAGGGAGAATCCGAATCCATTCACCACCCAGTGTATGGTATTTGTTACAGCATCCCCAATGACTAGGAAATCCTCTTCCATAAGCACCCTTCCATGTGGGGAAAAGAGACAGCTGAGGAGAGGTACAGGCTGTCTTCTGGTAACATTAGTTGAAAATTCAAGAATCTTTTTGGAAAATATTCAGTAGTTTGGTCTCAGTCACAGAAAGGACATGGTCCTTCAAGTGTTCGGTTCCAGTTTATCCTAGCCTCATCTCTAAGCAGCAGGAGCAGTCATGAAAACACTCGTGAGAGCCTGTGTGAGGCATAGTGGAGGCCCTGAGTCAGTCTTAGCACATGAGAAAATTTGGAGGAATAAAAAAACAATAGAAAAAAGGCTTCCACAGGAGCCAGAGGTGGCTCAGGAGTTAAAAGCTCTTGCTGAGGACCCACAGCTGGTTCATAACTCCAGCTCCAGGGGACCTGATACTCTTGTCTGGTCTCCATGGACACCAGCACTCATGTGTATATACCTTGACATGGACATACATACATACACAAAGTTAAAAATAAATCTTCTTAGCTGGACGGTGGTGGCGGCGGCGGCGGTGGTGGTGGCAGTACACGCCTTTAATTCCAGCACTCAGGAGGCAGAGGCAGGTGGATTTCTGAGTTTGAGAACAGCCTGGTCTACAGAGTGAGTTCCAGGACAGCCAGAGCTGTTACACAGAGAAACCCTGTCTCAAAAAACCAAAACCAAAATCAAAAACAAAAAGACAAGACAAACAAACCAAAACAAAACAAAAAACCAAAACCAAAATAAACAAACAAACAAAAAACCCCAAAACGTCTTTAAAAAAAGAAAAGAAAAAGGGCTTGGAAAAACATAGCCATGGACATCGAAGCATTGGAATGGTAGAGGATAGCAAGAAATGAAGCACCAACTGAATCCTTTATGACCGTAGTCTCTGTAACTGTTGCTCTGGTATACCTAAGTCGCCTATGCCTGGACACACTGAAACTCAGTCTCTTAGCTCATGCAGCACACAGACCATTAAAACCCGAACGCTACCTTTCGGTTCAGCATGGCCCACATGAGGCTGTCCAGAGTGCCATTTGCAATAAGGTAGTGAATATTCACGGAACTGCACTGTCCAATGCGGTGAGCACGGTCTTCAGCTTGCTTGATGTGTCCAGGGTCCCAGTACAACTCAGCAAAGACCACGTGACTGGCAGCTGTAAACGTTAAACCCTAAGCAAAACAAAGCAAAGAAACTGAGGCACACATAGCCGAGCATGAGGTATACACATGCAGCAAGAGCCTCCTGAACACGGGAAAAGGAGAGAGGAAGGGTGTTCTGTCAGCTTTAACTGTCAGCTCCACAGCCCGGAGTCATCTGAGAAGGGAGAAGACAGCCTGGCCTGTGGGCATGTCTGTGGGGGATCGTCTTGACTGTAATTGATGTAAGAGGGCCCGGCCCCCTGTGGGTGGCAGGTGGTCCCAGGGAATGTAAGTAAGCTAGCTGAGCATGAGTGAGTGAGGCGGTGAACAGTGTTCCTACTTCAGTTCCTGGCCTGATTTTCCTCAGCGATGGACTGTAACCTGTATGCTGAAATAAATCCTTTCTTTCCCTAAATTGCTTCCGGTCAAAGTGTTTTTACCACAGCAACAGAGATTTAAAACAAGTGAGTCAGGCAATGTGAGATATATTAGGAAGATTTAATTGATGAGCAGCAGATAAAAGCTTCTTACTGCACGATGCCAAGTGAACTACAAGGGAACATATTTGAGAGACATTTCAATAGGCAGGTTTATGGGTACCAAACACACATACAAAACCTCTTTATCCCTTGGAAGAGTTAGATTCACTTTACTGCTAGAAAATCTAACAAAATACATTATAAAACAGACTGTAACTGGTAACACATGGTATCCATGGCAACTAGGCATCACGCACTGACATGCTCTTCAGTTCATTCAAACTGCTGTGCTGGAAGTAAGAGAAACATGTCTCTAGTCATGCGATTTCCGCCTGTGAAATCTCCCATGCTACGACTCCAAGACCCTGAGTTTATTGTCTCTAGTCTCAGGGTGTCATGCCGCTGCTGTACTCTCTGTGCCGCTGGCTTTGGCATGAACTTGAAACACTGTGGCAGAAAAGCATTAAGTCTAATTTTACACTCGATGCATGAAAATGTGTCAAGATGCATCGCTTCTATAGTGGCGGGCTGAGTGAACTTGGAAGCATGTCGGACTGTGGCCACATACAGCCAAAGGTGTGGGCAGTGGATGAGGTCTGCCTTGCTTTGGAAATACGGTTTAATCCATGTTGTTCACAACGTGGAGCTTCTATGAGGGATGACTCTTTTTTTTTGAGATTGTTAAACCATATTTTCACTTTAACTTAAAATATTTTTGTGTTACACCAAAATCATACTTTGTTGCCTACTTAATGATTATCCTTAATGAATAATTCAAATTCCCTGAAAATTCGTCCCTTCATAAAAATGGGCCAGAAGTAATAAAAACCAGAATAAAACTAAATACAATATTAAATGGTGTTGCTATTTAGGACGGCAAAGCCATATTAGAGGTAATATTGGAAAAACAAGTGGTAGTATCAGAGGGAGACCGACAAGCCTGTCAGAAGCATGTATGACCATGGCCAGAGCAGACAGCTCAGTCAGGAAAGCGCTTGCCTTGCAAACACGAGGACCTGAGTCCTTTTCTCAGCTCACACATAAAAAGCTGAGTGTGGTGGTGTGCACTTGTAATCCCAGCACTCGGGAGGTGGAGACGGGCAGGATCCTGGGATTCACTGCCGGTCAGCCTAGCCTAATTGGTGAGCCCCAGGTCTCAGCGAGAGACCCTGTCTCAAAAACACCAGGTGCAAAAGCCCAGCGTGGTGGTGCACTCAGAAGGCAGAGGCAGGCAGAAGTCTGTGAGTTCAAGGCCATCCTGCTCTATATAGGGAGTTCCAGGACAGAGAGGGCTACAGAGAGAAACCCTGCCTCAAAAACCCCAAAACAGAGAAACAAACAAAGACACAAACCAATCACCAAACAAGCAAGGTAGATGATTCTTGAGCTACAATTCCAGACCCCTGAGACTCACATATGACCATGCTCGCAAGATCATTATTATTCTAAGAAGCAGTCAGTCTTCAGTATGAGCTATCACCCAGAACAACGCCCTTCCTTCTTACCTTTGTTCTTATGGGGACATCAATCTTCAAGTATGTACGAGTTGACTTATATAAGAGCTCCAGGAGCACAACCTTGAATAAAATATGAGTGCCCTGTACATTCTTAATTTCAAGATGTCATTTATTTTTAATCGTATCTTAAGCTCATAATAGCCTTGCCTTTCCTGTCTGGTTTCAACTTACTTATCATGTCTCCTGACAGGGACACTCACCCGTTTCTAATTTTAGGTTCTTGGTAATATTCTCCATGGCTAGAATATTCTAACCGATACTTATGTCAGATTTTAGAAAGTTTAATCCAACCTAAGGAAGTATTGAGACAACTCCTTGTGGGTCCCTAAACGGTTTTGTCCTTACAGTTTTTCTACACACAACATTTTATAGACCTCAACCAGCTGGGTAAAAACTGACCTTTAATATATAACAAGTGTATACCATGGAAGTATGCTCAGACACTCAGTCACACACACGCACATACACCCCGCCCCCATGCTAAATGACGTGAGCCCAAGGCCAGCCTGGTCTACATAGTGAGTTTCAGGACAGCCAGGGATAATAAAGTGAAACCTCATTTTAAAAGACAAACAAACAAAAAAACCACAATGCTAGAAGGCATGTGGTCGTAAGGACTTTGTGGAGCTATTACTGGCAAGGTAAAAGAATCTGCACGATAACATTACATTCATTAATTGTGTGTATGTGTGTGCATGCACATGCACAGATAACATTACATTCATTAATTGTGTGTATGTGTGTGCATGCACATGCACGATAACATTACATTCATTAATTGTGTGTATGTGTGTGCATGCACATGCACAGAGGTCAGAGGACAACCTGAACCACTTTTCTTTGGTTAGGGTGGCCACTGGCAGGATGTCCACACCCAATGGCTGACTCCACGCCCACGTGGACATGGGCAGCACTGACTGGACACTCAATGGGTTATTAAAAAAAAAAAAAGGAATGAATTTGGGAGGGAGATGTGCTGGAGGAAGGAAGGGGGTAAGGGGTAGTCATGACTAAGATACATATACACACATGTGAAATTTTCAAAGAATAAAAATAAGAGGCTGCCTTCTATTATATTTTCTAGCACTCTGAAGGAGAACGGATACTTACTACAGTAGACATCCAGATAAAAAAATTACAGTTTTATAAACCAAAGTTAGTGTTAATGGACTTCTTGTTATTTCCATGACACTTTCTTGTCAAACTCAGACCTGAATCTCTTACCTGGCCAGCAGCCTGAATGCTCAGGATAGCCACACGAGTATTGGGGTCCTTCTGAAATTGATTAACCAGGTGAATCCTCTCTGAAGATGGAACACTTCCATCTATTCTGATGTAACGAGCCTAGCATAAGGGAAATAGCAAAATTAGACAAGCCCTAGTCAGCCTTCCTATTTTACATGTTTTATACCTTATTTTAATAGTCATATAAAGATGCAAACTGGTTAAAATGGTACATCAGCAAATGTTATACAGTAAGAATCGTAACAAAACATAATTTCTTTTTTTTTTTAAAGATTTATTATGTATACAGTGTTCTGCCTGCATGCCAGAAGAGGGCGCCAGATCACGTTACAGATGGTTGTGAGCCACCATGTGGTTGCTGGGAATTGAACTCATGACCTCTGGAAGAGCAGCTAGTGCTCTTAATGGCTGAGCCATCTCTCCAGCCCAAAACATAATTTCTTACTTAAAGATTTTATTATGTATATTGTGTGTGTGGATGTGGGTTTATGTGCATGTGCATGCACACACATGAGTGCCATGGTACATATATGGAGGTCAGAGGACAACTTACAGGAGTTGGCTCTCTCCTTCTACCACATGGGTTTCAGTGATTGAACTCAGGTTATCAGGCTTGGTGACAAGCACCTTTACAAGCTGAACTATTTTGCCATTGCTGACTTTTTAACCTACTTGAAGATAGGTTTTATGTTTAATGTATCTTAATACCACTGTGATGGTTTGAATGAGAATGGGCCCCAGTTGGTGGAACTGTTTGGGAAGGATTGGGAGGTGTGGCCATGTTAGAGGAGGTGTGTCACTGGGGGTGGGTTTGGAGGTTTCACAAGCCCACACCATTCCCAGTTAGCTTTCTCTCTGCCTCGTGGTTGTTGTCTCAACATGTAAGCTCTCAGCTACTGCTCCAGCATCATGTCTGCCTGCTACCATGCTCTCTGATATAATGGTCATGGATTCACCCCCCAAACTGTAAGCTCAATAACTCTTTCTTCTATAAGTTGCCTTGGTCACGGTGTCTTTATACAGCAATAAAAAGTAACTAAGACAGCCATCAATACCAAGGGCAATTGCTTTTATGCAACAGAAGGAAGCTCTATGAATATTTTTTTTAATGAAGCAAATGTTTCTTCAGTAAAATTCTATGAAAGTTAACATGCAACCTTTAGGCAGTAGGTAAGAATAACTTTAGGTTACAGGATAAGGTCCTGCAGAATAAAACCAAAACCAGATGAGAGGGAAAGAAGAGACGATTTTGTTGAGGTATTAAGGAAGTTCGGAGAGTGGTACATGTGTTTCTGAAACACAACCAAATGTAACTGGGAAAGTAACACTAAATCTACCATTCACGACCTCTTTTTTTCACATTATTAAACTTGAAAGAACTATGTGAGATGACTGTATCCATTGAAGTGAGGAATTAAGACACCCACACACACCTTTAAAAACAGACTCATTAAGTATTAAACTGAATAGACTTGTCTTCAAGAACAATTTAAGCTGTGAAAAGAGCTGTGAGTTAGAAATAGCTAAAAAGAACAAATTCAACCTTATAAAAATAAGTTAAGCTGCCAGGTTGGGGGTGGTGTGTGGCACATGTCTTTTACCACAGCACTCAGGAGGCAGAGGTTGGTGGATCTGAGTTCAAGGCCAGCCTGGTCTACAGAGTGAGTTCCAGGACAGCCAGGGCTACACTGAGAAACCCTGTCTTGAAAAACCAAAAAAAGAAAAGGGAAAAAAAAAGTGAAGTTAAATTTCAAATCAGACTGTCCAAGCATTGTGTGATATTTTGTTTGTGCTCATTAAATGAATCATTAAATGATTCTTTTTTTTTTTTAAACCTATCTAGCCGTACATATGTGTGAATGTGGGTAAGCGGTTGCCCCAGAGCAGAGGTGTGGTCGGTCCTTGCTTTCCACCTTGTTTGAGGCAGTCTCTGGTCTTCCTGCTGTGCACAGCAGGGTAGCAGGGTTCTCCTGTCTCTGTTTCCCATCTCACTGCTGGGCGCTGGGGTTAGGATAGGAACTACATCTCAGTCCTCAGGCTCACACAGCAAACCCTACTCACGGACTCCTCTCCAGCCCTAATTAGTAACTTTACTTCACAAAGCATGCACAGCCTGATCAATGAACCACTCAGTATCCCTTGCAGATTACAAAATCCTCTCAGGAGCTTTCTAAAGAAAATACTTGGTCAGAATAGGGAAGATGGGGAGAAATTTGCCTTGCACCATGAATACCTACACTTGTAACTCTGTAAAGCTGAGTGAGAGTCCAACATATCAGCAGAACAGATGTGAGGAAAAGAAGTGGACTGCTGTGCCTAGAGCAGAATCTAGGAAATTTAAGATTAAATACATTCAGAATAGGAAAATAGTATGAATCTATCTTTTTGTCAATGACTTAAAAATTAGTTGTAAGGGTAATGAAGTCTTTCTTAGAGTGTAAAAATCAATAGAACCTCTCATGTTATGACATCACACCATAAAACCATAAATCCCTCTGTGAGGGAAGATACCAGGACATATTACAAACACATTAGTTAACACCTAACATGGCTTTAGCTCTGATTTTGAAAACACTGACCTGTACTGGCTGTATTGCTCTGTGTGTACAAGGCTCACACTACTTGCCAGGACATTTCCTATAGCTGCCACTGCACACCTGTGCCAGCGCCAAGCATTTACAGGACAGATGGCAGGTAAAGCTTTGAAATGATCGATGGGAGATGCCATCTCTAGCGTGAACACTGGAAACTGAGGCGGATCTCAGAGGATTCAGGGAAGATCACTGGCCTTGTGGATATGGCCAGGTCAACCACGTGGGTCACCCACATGGGCCATACCCTTTAATGAGTCCATATTCTTTCTTAATAGCAATTTTCCATAGAGTATATGGCCTGGGGGTTTGAAAGGTCTGAAAGTTTGGGGGCAGTGATTTTTACTGGATTTATTCTCTTCTATTAGCCACATTTAGGTGTGTTTATGAATATGCCACTCTCGTGTGCTATCTCCAGGAACAGGAAGGGAGTCCCTTATGGAATTAGGACAGAATAGCCTTAATCAACTCAGATCAATTGGAGAAAGGAAAAGTTTAAGATTGAAAAAAAGAAGAAATCAGTATGCCATGGTCTTAATATATTACTAAAATTTGTAAGAAAATTTAATAAATTATTGATAAGACAATGCATTTTAAAAACACCATCCAAAGAAGGTTAAAAAAAATCCACATAAACCATGAGATTAAAATATTCAATATAGCCGGGCGGTGGTGGCGCACGCCTGTAATCCCAGCACTCGGGAGGCAGAGGCAGGTGGATCTCTGTGAGTTCGAGGCCAGCCTGGTCTACAGAGCTAGTCCAGGACAGGCTCCAAAGTTACAGAGAAACCCTGTATCAACCCCCCCCCCCCAAAAAAAAAAATTCAGTATAGTGAAAATATGCATTCTAAACATTATTTTATAGAAAAATGTCACAATACCTTGTTTTCGATGACTGCTTCTGTGCAAGCTTGGAGCATACTTAAATGGTGAGCAAAGACCAGAAATTTAAGTGATTCATTCTGAAGCAACATCTTAATATAGTCCTTCACCGCACCTGCCTAAATATTAAAGACAAATTTTATTAACATCATCAAAATTTTTATTAAAGCACCATGTCACTTTTAATAAAGGAAAAACAAAAAGCTCCTGATATCAGTATCTTTAGATATCCATCTCCATGACCTTCAGCAGCTTTTTCTCTAGGCAGCCTACTAAACTGGAACCCCGATATGTAAGGGATGTGTGGAAAAGCTATCCAAGTACGTCCACTGTTTTGTTTTTTTATTGCTGTGACAAAATATTTAAGAGAAATAAACTTAAAGCATGGGAAATTTCTTTTGGTGCCAAGTTTCTTTTCAGTCCCTGGTCGGTTCTGAGTACTGGGGAGGCAAGAACATCATGGCAGGCAACCATGGTGGATGGTGCTGCCCATCTCACAGCAGGCACGCGGCAGGGGGTGAAGGCACCAAGGACCAGACTAGATACACACCTTTTCAGGACACACTCCCATGATCCACCTCTTTCAGCCAGGCTCTGACAACCTACTCCACACCACTTCCCAATGATACCACCAACTCACAGACCAGTGAATTCAGCCACTGATGAGATCAGAACCTCCTCAGAGCCCACGGTTAGCAAGAAAGCCTCTAGACAGGGGCCTTGGGGCACTTCAGATTAGAACAGCATGGGTGGAAGACAGGAGGCTGCGTGGGAGGAGCATGGTACCGTTGTTTAGAAGATGGGTTCACACAGTGAAAAGGAAGGGATTAAGGAGGAAAAGGAAGAAAATGAGTAAGAGCTTTTAAAGACTGGGACTGACGTTGAAGGCTGAGGAAAACTTGCTTCACCTTCTTAAACTGAGATAGTGAGGCAGCCTTAGGGAAAGGCAGGTAGAGAAGCAGTAGGAGGCCGGGAGACACGGAAAATTAGTTGTCTCGAGAATGGAGAAGTGTGCCGGCTAGTTTTCTGTCAACTCGATACAAGCTGGGGTCATCTGGGAAGAGAGACTCTCAACTGAGAAACTGTCTCCCTAAGACTGGCCTGTAGACAAGCCAGTGGTCCTGGGTTCTATAAGAAAGCAGGCTTAGGAGGCCACGAGGAGCAAGTCAGAAAGCAGCGCCCTCCACGGAAGCGGCACCCCTCCACGGAAGCGGCACCCCTCCACGGAAGCAGCGCCCTCCACGGAAGCAGCACCCCTCCATGGAAGCAGCGCCCCCCATGGAAGCGGCACCCCTCCATGGAAGCAGCTCCCCTCCATGGAAGCAGCTCCCTCCATGGAAGCGGCAGCCCTCCATGGAAGCAGAACCCCTCCACGGAAGCAGCACCCCTCCACGGAAGCGGCACCCCTCCACGGAAGCGGCACCCCTCCATGGAAGCAGCTCCCTCCATGGAAGCAGCTCCCTCCATGGAAGCGGCACCCCTCCATGGCCTCTGCATCAGCTCCTGGCTCCAGGTTCCAGCCATGCATGAGTTCCTGCCCTGACTTCCCTGGACGATGGACTTATGATCTATAAGGTGAAATAAACCTTTTCTTCCCAAGATGTTTTTGGCCATGGTGTTTCATCACAGCAATAGAAACCATAATAAAACAAGAAGGTTCTGGAAGAACCTGAAGAGACAGGCTCAAGAGCACAAGAGGAAGGTCTAAGATAACAGAATGAAACGGAGTTGATGTAGAGGAATAAAAACCATAAAAATTAACACTGAGTGGGCATTCTTAGCTAAAGTCTCTCCATGTTATCTAGAAAGAGTAAGAAATAAGGATGAGTGACTTAAAATTAAAATAAAAATATGAATATACTATCTCTTAATTGTTACCAGGAGATTGTGGTGGTATATGCCTGTAAATCCAGGAGGCTGAGCCAGGAAGATTACACATTTAAGACTAGTTACTGGGTTATACAGTAACTTCCAGGCTAGCCTGGGCTCCTGAATGGAAAATAAAAAAAGGTTGAGGGGCTTGAAAAATGGCTCAGTGGTTAAGAGTGCTTTCTGTTCTTCCAGAGGACCCAAGTTCTGTTTCCAGCACCTACACTGTGTGGCTCACAACTGCCTGTAGCTCCAGAGAATATGATGCCTTCTTGCTGTGGGATGTTCTGTATGGCAAATGTGTTGCTAATTAGTCAATAAATAAAACACTGATTGGCCATTGGCTAGGCAGGAAGTGTAGACGGGACAAGGAGAGAATAAAGCTGGGAAGTGGAAGGCTGAGTCAGAGACACTGCCAGCCGCCACAATGACAAACAGCATGTGAAGATGCCGGTAAGCCATGAGCCATGTGGCAAGGTATAGATTAATAGAAATGGATTAATTTAAGCTGTAAGAACAGTTAGCAAGAAGCCTGCCACGGCCATACAGTTTGTAACCAATATAAGTCTCCGTGTTTACTTGGTTGGGTCTGAGTGGCTGTGGGACTGGCGGGTGATAGAGATTTGTCCTGACTGTGGGTCAGGCAGGAAAACTCAAGCTACACCTTCTTATGGTCTCATAGGCTCCTAAGTGCATGCACGTGCGCGCGCGCGCATACACACACACACACACACACACACACACACACACACACACACACAGATAAACAAAATAAATATAAATGTTTTAACAAACAAATGACAAAGATTTAGTTACTTAGACATTTTGGATAAAGATGGCAGGCTGAACTCACTCAATTCCTATTCCCTCTTAGTCTAAGAACAGCAAAGGACATGGGCACAAAAGTCAAGAGTGAAATCTATGGAAGCTAAGAAGTACACGATTCCCCATCCTGAGAGATAGTAACCTGGCTATATGGAATGGACAGGAGTACCTGATTTCCAGTGCAGCCATGTAAAGGCCCAGGAGGGACAGGGTGAGGGGAGTCACAGGTATGGACTGTCCCTATCCTGGCAGCAACCTGGAGTCTATTCTTCAGATGGGGTAAAACAGAGTTTGTCTGGATAAGTGCTGCACTGAGGGCAAGCAGTGTGGTGTGAGGGCATGCTTAAAGAAGATGCAGGGCATGCTTAAATCCCCAGGGCACCAGCGATGAGTGCCAGGGCCCACAGAGAAGTGTCTCGGTTACGAGGGTTCTACACTCACGAATGAGTTGACGCTGATTATAAAAAGCCTGGAGACTGCAGCAGTCCTCTACCCTCTCTACTCTTTGACCTTTTGTCTTCTGCCGTGGGATAAAGCAGCAGCACAAAAGCCTTCATCCTTGATATTGGACTGTCCAGCCTCCAGAACTGTGAGCTAAACAACCTTACATTGTTTATAAATGTTCCAGTCTCAAGTACTCTGCTATAGAAGCAATCGGGCATCAGGGAGTAGGCACAGTGCATAACAACTGTGAAGATTAAATTGGGGTTTTATTAATTGATACTGAAAGACTGGGTATATAGTTCAGTGGTAAAGCACATACTTGCCTAGTGTGTACAAATTTCTAGGTTTGATATCTAGAAGTTAGGAAGGAAGAAAGTTAGGAAGGAAGGAAGGAAGGGAGGGAGGGAGGGAGGGAGGGAGCGAGGAAGAGAGAGAGGGAGGAAGAGAGAGAGGGAGGATAGGCGGGGAAGAAGAGGAAGAGGAAGAAAAGGGGGAAAAGGAAGGAGAAGGAAGAAGAGGGGAAAGGTCTAATAACACATATAGTAAATACTGATCAGGCAAAAATTAGCATAATTTTAAAAATCAGTAAAATTATACACTTGGATGGAAGGACGGGAGTAAGAGACAGGTATGGATCTGGGGAGGGGGCAGAGACATAAAGAAGTAAAATTTTATCCTGGCTATTGATGAATCAATCAATGTAGCTGCAAACTACAATGGAAGCAGTAATGTAAACTGAGCTGCCACAGAAGCGGTGTTGAGATCTGAGTGAATTAGCAGAACACAGAACAGCGCTCAACTTTTACAAGAGCCAAGAGAGGCGGCCAACGGGGAATAAAGTTAGACTTCTTTTCTGGAGTGATTGTTTTCTGTTGTTAACATAGCTTTAGTAATCTTTAAATTAAAAATTAAAAAATACCTACCTAAAATTCATACGTATTAACTGCAAAGCCTCAAGGTTTATTCTGCAAGCTGTATTCTGCATGTCTAAGTTTTCTGAACAATGAAATTCATGATACAGTGAGCCTGGAGGCCGGCAAGAGCTTTGGGTGTCAGTGCCTCAGGAAGTGGAAATTAAGTTCTTTCAGAACAAGCAGCTATAAATTCCAGCTATGTCGTCACGGCAACCGAAGCACTTTTATAAAGTGCATGTTTGCCTCAAGAGCTATATTTACTGGGATAGGCCTTTCAGTAAGTACATGGGTTGGAATGTGTAAAGGGTACATCCATTACACTCCAAATCTAGATTGACAGACGGAACAACTGCTGTAACCTGGTCTCACGTGCCCTCTTCCCAAGTGAGCTGTTCCCACCCTCACCAGGACCAGAGCTGCTGAGAGAAGGCTCAAGCCCTCTGCACCCATTCCTTCAAACCACTGCTTTAAAAGGCTTGCGGTGGGGGCCGAGGACTGGGGAGATGGCTCACGGGTTAGGACTCATGCCACACGGGCATCTCAACGCTGGGCAAGGCTGCACACACCTGTAACTCCATTCTTGGGGAACAAAGACGAGCAAGATCCTGACAGCATGCTGGCCAGCCAGCTTAGCTAAATTGGGGAACTTCCAGTTCAGCAAGAGACCCTGTCTCCAGGGAATGTAATGACCTTATTATTCCTCACTGCATTTTGAAGTGGGATTCTACTCACGTTAAGCTGATAAAGCAATTAAATAGGAAACATACTTTGTACCTTAAGGGAGCATGCTTAAAGAATTTCCCTTCAGCACATAAGGCACTGAAGAATGCTACGATTCCCAAAGTGGCAGGAAATTTTAAGTTATACTTGGTTTTAGTAACTTTCATTAAAAAACTGGCATTTCTCTTGAAATGGCTTCTTCTAAAAATGACATAACATTGTAACGTGCCCCCAAATAAGTGATATCTTGTTTTTAAAAAGGTTTATTTGAGGGCTGGAGAGATAATTCAGTGGATTAAGAGCACTTGATGCTCTTGTAGAGGACTCAGCTTTGGATCCCAGCACCT